CTACCAAATAAGTATCACCCAGAATTGTCAGAAAATGGAGATGTATGGAAGTCTGACAACCAAGGAATTAAAGAATTTTTATCATCCAGACAGGTAAGAGGTGTGGAGACACGGAGAGGTGGAATATGCATCCCCACTCCCACATGTGGTGGATAAAATCAGGAGAGATACCTCAGGAGTGAGGGATCCCAACCCCACACCCAGGCCAGGGTTTCAGTGCCAGGAAGATAAGTTCCCATAATTTCTAGCTATGATAATCAGTGGCAGTTGGAGTGGCGGAAGAAATTGCGAAATTCTCAGGCATTGCTTCTTCAAGAGCCTGCAATAGACTTAGGTCTTACTCAGACTCACTCCCTTTGGGCTTTAGAACTGGAGCGGGAGCTACAAGGGCACCAGTGGCATACAGGGGGAAACAGAAGTATCTGGCACCAGGGTGACAGCTGAGGGACAGCTTCTTCCCAGACAAAAGTCCACAGGCCAGGCAGTGGCCACAGGCCTCTTTCTGAGCCCTCTCCTACACAGAGCCCTGAAACAGAGGCACCATATCTGAGAACCCATCAACCTGGTTCACATGGGTTGCCCCACCCTGGTGATTACCTAAGGCTCTGCCCCATCCAACTTACAGGTGTGCTTTTCTACAGTAAGCCATGCTAGTAAGGTGGGAAGTCAAAGCATCTCTATCCAATACATAGAAGCAAACACAAGAAGGCTGCCAAAATAAGAAAAAGAAATATGGCCCAAATGAAAAAACAGAACAAAACTCCAAAAAAAAAAGAACTAAATAAAATGGAAGTAAGCAACCTATGAGCTGCAGAGTTCAAAACACTGGTTATTAGGGTGCCCAAAGAACTCATTGGACACTTCAGTAGCATAAAAAAAAAAAAAAAAAGACCCAGGCAGACATGAAAGATGCACTAAGTGAAATAAAGAAAAATTTACGAGGAATCAACAATGGAGTAGATAAAGCTGAGAATCAAATCAATTATTTGGAACATAAGAAAAATACATCAGAACAGCCAGAAGAGAAATGTATACAAAAAATGAGGATAAGATACAATCCTCAATCAGAACAGATTCATGAAAAGCAAGGACCTACATCCAAGATTATTCTATACAGCAAGGCTATTACTTAGAATAGAAAGGCAGATAAAGTTCTTCCCAGATAAGGGAAAGTTAAAGAAGGTCATCATCACCAAGTTCTTATTATATGAAATGTTAAAGGGACTTACCAAGAAAAAGGAGATCAAAATTCTGAACAGTAAAATTGATACAGGGTGCAGACAGGGGGGGCCCCCCGAGAAGATTTGGAAAGGTGTCCAGAGTCAAAGTGTATAGAAATATTGGAGAGACATATTAAGATGTCCTCACCACCCCCCCCCCCCCCCAGGGGGAAGGGATGAATGGAGCCAGGCCATTGAGAGCTACTTTGCATAGCAATAGTTTTGGAGCTAACCTCCGGAGGAATGGTTATTTAACATATCTATAACCTTTAACTGGTTTCATAGATATGTTAAATAGCAGTGGCCAAGTTTGGAGCAGAAGGCAGAAGGGAGTAGCAGGGCCAGAGAGAAGGTCTGCGCTCCTGAGTAAGGGACTGAGAATGGAACTTGGACTCAGAATGTAACTAAGGGCTGCCCTCCTGAGTGAGTGGACTGGGACTCAGGAGGATGTAACTAAAGTCTGGACTCCTGAGAGAGAAGGAACTAGCGAGGGACTCAGGATGGAGCTGGGACTCAAGATGGGAACTAGGAGCTGCGCTCCTGAGTGAGGAGGGCTTGGACTCAGGATGTAACTAAGGGCTGCTCCCCTGAGTGGAAGGGCCGCTGTGTGGGAGCTTGGAAAAGACTGGCTCCAGGACATGAAGGGTCCCTGCTTGGGCAGATGAGAGAGAGCCACGCGGTTTCAGCAGAGTGAGGACCCCCTGTTGGTGAGGTGAAAGAGGGAGCCACGTGGTTTTGGCAGAGTGTGGACCCCCTCTTTCCCAGGTGAAAGGGAAGAACCACGCAGCTTTGCCAGAAGGGAGATCCCTGCAGCCAGGTGAAGAAGAAAGCCACATGCTTTTGGTGGAGTGCGGACTCCTGCAGCTTTGGTAGAAGAGGCCCACTCGGCTTTGGGGTGTCCCCTTTGGCTGCGGGGCCTGAAAAAGCAGGAGAGACTTTGAATGGAACTGGGTACAAAGGACTCTTGCCAGTGGACCATGAGAGGGTACCACAGTACTTTGGATTAACTAGAGAGAGATCCTGCCTGCACGGTGACACAGCTGACGGTGCCAGTGGCCTGAAAAAGGGACGTGTGCTCTTTTCCTGATTTACGGTACCCGGAGTTGGGACAGTGGGAGAAGGGAGCGCTGTGTGGATGTAGGTGTATACCCTAAAGGACTTTGATATTTTAGTGGTGGCATTAGGCCTGAATAGCATTAAATAAACATTTTGTTTCCTTTTCACAAATCTCTGGCATTAAGAGATGTGTTTCCAATTGGCGGCGGACAGAAGGGCCCAGTAGATTTTAGTATTTTGGTTTTTGGGAGGGGCCCCTGTTGTACAGCAGTTTTGGGCATCCCTAGGTGGGCCAAATATTGTATTGCCCCTCCCTCGGACCTCCTCTTGTTCAGTAACAAAATGACAACAAACTCACAACTATGAACAACTAAACTTAGAAAACAAAAACACACCAAGCAAACAACTGGAACAGAAATGGAGATCACATGGAGAGCTATCAGTGGGTAGGGGGAAGGAGAAGAATGGGGGAAAAGCATAGGGAATAAGAAGCATAAATGGTGGGTACAAAATAGACAGGGGGAGGTTAAGAATAGTATGGAAAATGGAGAAGCCAAAGAACTTATATGTATGGCCCATGGACATGCATTAAGGGGGGATGCTGGAGGGAATGGGGGTACTGGGCAGAAGGGAATTAAGGGGAGAAAAATGAGACATCTGTAATAGCATAATCAATAAAGTATTCTTTAAAAAAAGAACAGCAAGAAGAGAAATAATACATAAAAATGGGGATAAGTTAAGGGAGCCTATGGACAGCATTGAACATACCAACATTTGAATCAGGGGTGCTGGAAGGAGAAAAGATAAAAAATTAAAAGTTTATTTGAAAAAATAATGAACAAAAACTTCCCTAATTTGGTGAAAGAAATAGACATAAAAGTCCAGAAAGCACAGAGAGTCCTAAACAAAATGGACCCAAAGAGGACCACACCAAGACACATCATAATTAAAATGCCAAAGATTTAAAGAGAAAGTCTTAAAAGTGTAGGAGAGCTCCCACTGGGAGATGCACAGGACCCATGCCCACGGATAGGTCCTCCTGTGGGGGATCGGGCCTGCAATGTGCCTAGGCCACTTTGAGTCTTGCTTTTAGCTTAAAATTCCCTCACCCAGATTTGTGGCAAACATTTACTGCAAAGTAACTTCCTGAAACTCAGGCTAAACCTTCCAAGGACCAGTGTAACCAGTTCAACCACTTTTGCCTTTTCATTTGCAAATATCCCTCTTCTGTGATGTGATTAGCAACATTGGCTCCTTTGTTTTCTGTAAAACGTAACCACCTAAAGCTACCTGTGCATAGTAAATGAGGACCATCACATAACAGTGCTGAGAAAACCAATAAAGGCCGGTCACAGCAAGGGCCAATGCTTTTGCTCCCCTCGAGAGAAAAGCCATGCTGTCCCTTTTCCTCTACAGGACTCGGTAGTCCTGTGAATGTCACATTTCATCCATAATGACTCGGACACATAAAAGTAGCAAATGAAAAGAAGATAGTTACCTGCGAAGAGTTCCCATAACAATGTCAGTTGATTTCTCAGAAACTCTGCAGGCTAGAAAGGACTAGGAAGAAGTATTCAAAGTGATGAAAATCAAGGATTTACAACCCAGATTACTCTATCAGGAAAGCTGTCATTTAGAATGGAAGGGCAGATAAAGTGCTTCCCAGACAAGTTAAAGCTAAAGCAGTTCATCATCACCAAGCTATTATTATATGAAATGTTAAAGGGGCTCATTTAATAAAAAGAAGATCAAAATTATGAACATTAAAAAAGCAATACATTCACAACTATCAACAACTGAATCTAAAAAACAAAGCACCAAGCAGAACAGATGTTATTGCTGTCTGTGGAGATCATTTGTGGGGTTTTCAGATGGGAGGGAGAATAGGGAAAATGGGGGAAAAGGTTCAGGAATTAAGAAGGACAAATTGGTTGGTACAGAATAGCCAAGGGGATATTAGGAATAGTACAGGAAATGGAGTAGCCAACGAATGTGTGACCCATGGACAAACTAAGGGGGGAATTGCCAGAGGGAATAGGGGTTCCGGGCAGAGGGGGGCAAAGAGGAAAAATTGGGACAACTGCAATAGCATAATAAATAATATATATAAGAATATTTAAAAAGGCATGCAAAAAATGCTCATTTGATTTTTTACAAAGGTAAATAATTCTCCCCATTTTATAGATAAATGAATTGAGGGTCAGAGGATAAGACTCCTATACAAGTTACATTGCTGGAAATGATCTGAAATTTGACTTAAATATACATGTTCTGACTCCAAGTCCTAAGAAATCACTACCTTTGTATATAGAAGAGTTGAATTATTCACATAACTTACAAAGATTAGTATCATTGGTTTAAAAAATGGTATTCTGGTTACCTCTAATAAATAGAAAACTCAATAAACAATATTTATCTCATATCTTGCTTTCTAAATGCTTTGATGTCTTACTGTAGGTATTTTATATCTGCAAGCAACGGAATCTTCCTCAGAAAACTTTATGGCAAAAGTGTGAGAGCATACATACGTATCAATCATTTTGCTCCTTCAACAATTATATCCAAAATCATACTATTAAACTCACAAGTTAGATAACATGCTGTCAAATCTGTTTATGTACAAGGGTTTCATTGTATTTTTCCCCCCTGTGGAACTCTGTTTTTCTGCACCCAGAGCAGATGAATTAGAAAATAAAAATGTTCCTTTTCCAGGTGTTCACTCACCTCTGTTTACCTTTGTGATCCATAGAGCCAGCTGAGAGTCGGTCCAGGGGAGACCCAAATCCAGAGAAGCTCCTTTTCTTCTTTGTTTCAATCACATCATTCTCCAGAGATACCAGTTCATCAAGAAGCATGAGTTTTGCTGCCAGGTCAGCTGCTGATTTCTCTTCCCTAACTGTGGGTGGTGACTGCACATCTCTGATTGCAGCATCCCAAGCCTGTTGGTCAAGAAAAGTGGTCCCATTCACCTCACATACGTACAATCCTTTGCATTTGGCTTTTGCTAAGTTTAGCTGACATGCTTGTCATGAAACTTGATTTCTTGAGGAGTTATGATACAGAGAGACTTTTGGGGATAAAACACATAGTGGTGATGTACGCTGAGCAGAAATTAAAGACAAAACACACACAAACGCACACACACACATACACACACACACACAAAACCAAAACAGAACTCCACGCCTGACTCCCAAATTTAGTTTATTAACTGATCATTCTTTCAGATTCATTCCCAGTAACAAGTGTATCCCTTCATTGTCATCCCATAGCATTGTACTTATGCTTCTTCAATCCTTACACTCATTGCATTTTCCTTTGTATTAGATTGATTACAATATATTTGTATTGCACATTATATCATACCTTGAGGGCAACAATGATACCTAATTAGTCTTTTATGTGCTCTATTAAATGTCTATCTCAGTATTTTGCTCATAGTTAGTACTCAACTCATTTCTGATAAATATTTACTGAATTAATTCTGAAAAATGCTAAACTCTATGCTATTGTTTTCACCATTCATTCATTTTTTATTGATTCAAGCCACTAGGCATTCATTATGTACTAGGTTCTGCATTAGACTTAAGGGATAAAATGACCAAAATCTAGCAGTCTTTGCCCTCAGGGTGCTTATCATCTTTATCCATGTGACTTATTAATAAATATGAATGCATGTCTGCAATGACTCAGATCTTTCTCAATGACTTTATTGCCCCATGTAAAATTTCTTATTTATTTGTCTGTTGCACACACTGCCCTTTTGTAGTTCATCCAAGTCATGCAGGTATGGGCTCCTGGTTTGTGAATTCTGTCTTTTCTCTTCCCAGGCCCAATCACAGCATTTTTAAAATGCTCCTGTTAATACTTTCAAGTCATTGTGTAGTCTAAAACATACTACTTCTTTTCCAAGAGCCTGAGAATATTTCCCTATGGGAAGAAATTTAGCTCCAAGAATCTCTGCCTTTTAATCACATTCTTTCATGTGTCAGATTCTTGATCTCAGCAAGACTTTTGTTCTTTCCTTCTCGTCCTTGTTGAGTTATTTTTTCCATTCTCTTTATTTTCTTCAATAGAAAAACAGAGTAGCATTTTCCAAGTCTTTCTATCCTTGACTTCAGCAACTGTCTTTGAAATTCTTATAGTCTGACACCCAGACTCAAAGCTCTTTGGTCTATCTTAACTGTTAGGTTTCTTAAGTCTGGTTCTTCCTGGAAAACCTCTCTTCCTTCTGCTCTTTATATGATTCCCATGTCAGGTCCTCTTCACTGCTTATCATCTTACAACTTTTTTCTTTTATCTCCCTCTTTTTTCTATTCTATCCTGAATTCTGCCATGAAGTTAATTATCTCCAACACTCTTCCATTGTATAAAGAATTAAAAATTGTTCAGAGCTCTTTATTACTTACAGTGCAGTCTGCAATATGGTTCCAATCTCCTCTTAAAATCTCAACTTCTATCATTTCCCTATATAAGTATGACAACATAGAAACTGGAGAGAAATTCTATAATCATGAGAAAGAAATTCTAAAGAGCAGGAGACAAATATTCAAAAAGGAAAAAAGTAGGAGATATTTTATTATCTCTGAACATCTTCCAAAATACATTTTTATTTTTCCAACCGACATATGTACAAAATAGTTTTGTTTATTTTTTAAAGATTTTTAAAAATATATATTTTATTTATTTAATTTTAGAGAGGAGAAGAGAGGGATAGAAGCATCAATGTGTGGTTGCCTCTCAAGTGCCCCCTACTGGGGACCAGGCCTGCAACCCAGGCATGTGCCCTGACTGGGAATTGAACGGGTGACCCTTTGGTTTGCAGGCCTGCACTCAAATCACTGAGCCATACCAGCCAGGGCAAAGATATTCTTCATCTTCAAAAAAATCATAGAACTCATACAAAACTTACTTTTTGGTAAATGCATTACAGACTCTTCATTTTATTTAAGTACAAAGAATATTTGTTTCTAATCAATTAAAACAAGTCAAATTAACTTGTTTTTCTGTGAAGATGTGTTCAGATTTTTTTCCTTTGTACTTCAGCAAGAAGAAAACATTTGTATAGTAATAACAAGTTTGGCCAAAACTAGTCAAATTTCACCATATAAAAAACAAATTTTACATAAAAGCACTTCAACTTTATGTTGTAATGTAATTATATATAAGGCTGAAATGATACATTTTCTGTCATGATTTCTGTTCAAGGAATACAAATATTGCTTATTCCAGTTTTTTTCTCTTTCACATTTAGATACCTGGCTTTCCCTGAATGGACAGCGAGGACAAGACATAGAAAAAACGCTAATAACCTTGATTTTGTGTTTTCAAGGCATTCCCCTGTTTGTCAGCATCCCCTGCTTCTGATATTAGTGGAATAGGCTTACATTCATATATATATATATATATATATATATATATATATATATTCCCTTAAGCTAGTTCCCATTACCTCTGTTGCTACATCCACTGAGAGCACCTCTCCTGAGCCCCACAGCATCAATGTCACGGCCAGGATAACATGCGCACTTGCCAATCTCCAGTCCAGCATCTAAGGGTCACACACACCAGGGTTAACATTGTTAGTCTGGCATATAAAGATAGAAAACAAAACTCCTATAAAGCTTATTATATATAGGTGACAAATCAAATTATTCAGCTTCTATATGTCGGAATACACCTTTGCAAAACTTAAATAATAGTTAATAGGAGCTGTCAATCTCCTGGAATGAATTCTATCAAGGTTTCATTTCCAAGGAAATGTAGATTGGAGTTCCACAACTATAATAATTTAATTCGAAATAAGCCAAGACTGAGAAATCACGTTTGTGTAACATTATTATTTGCCTAATTCAGGACTGCAGCCTCGTGGACCTGAGGAGAAATGTGTGAAACTGGTCAAATATGAAGGAATAAAATCTGATGAGGTCTATGGGCGAACCAGAGAGACTGTGCTGTGTCTAAAAGCATTTAAATCCAAAATGTCAAAACCACCACAGATCCATTAGGAGAATATCTTTATGTCCTTGTGATATATAAGGGTTTCTTCAGCAAGATTCAAAAGGTGTATCCCTTATAGAAAATTCTGTAAGAGTTTATTATTTTAAAATTAAAATATTCTGTATAAACAGGTAAAATAAACACAAACAAATTAAAAAGTGAAATATATATCCAATACATGTAAAACAAAAAGATAAGCACTTGAAAAATTTAAATAACTGGCAAAAGTTTTAAAACTAGATGCACAAGTAGAAATGGGCCTGAGTTTATACAGAGACATGTATCTAAAAGTTTATAGCCTCATTGTAATAGTAAAAAATCAGAATCAACCCCACTGTCCTACTCAAGAAGAAATGGATATATCATCTGAGGTATAGTCATACCATAGACAAAGCAAATGACTTAAATATATGTATATACTGTTAAAGCGAATGTCCTAAATGTTATATGTATTTATAAACATGGATTTTAAAAAACAGTTTTGGGGCAAATTATATTTTCTAGAGTACTACAGATACCATACTACCATTTACCTAAATTGGAAATACATAAAGCAATTCCATATATCTAAAAAATCTATACATATAATTAAAGTATACGGTACTTGGTCATATAAACCAGTGATACTCGATCATGACTCTGATTGTCTCTCTGAAAAGTGGGAAGCAAGTAAAATCATGGAGGAAAAATAAGGGTCTCTTTCTCATTCTCTCTCGCTTTCTCTCTTTATATGTGTATGTATACACACACACACACGCCAAATACATCAAAATCACATTTGTTAATTCAGTGTGGTAAGCAGAAAGATGGGTCATTCATACATTGCTTTTTTACATTGAAAACCATCACACGTCCACTTAAAGTTCATCTGTGTCCTATACCAGGCCCGCTGGCTGCCCGCCTGGCCACTGGTACAGGGGAGGGAGATCACACGCTGTGAGTTACGACGGTCATGCGTTCACCACCTAGTATGGCTTTGAGAAGTCCCCCAGTCACCTTTGATGAATGCAAGGTCTCAGTAAACTTCTATTTCCCTTAAAAAATCATTGGGAAGCCTGCTGGGAGCAAAAAGGAAGGGGTTCTAGGGTGGTCTTAGGAACTGGATTTGCGTCTCATTTTTGCTTCAGTGTTACTGTGACCTTGGTGCGTATGATTCAACCTGAATTTAGCTTTATTTTCCATATTTGCGAAGTGAGGCATAATTCTCACCTTGAAGGAGCTTTGAGAGGGTTGAGTTCATCTATGTATACCTTCTTTATCTCATATAGTACTTCTAATTTGTTAGTGAAAGAACATATATGAGACATTACCAAATATTTTTATGCTAATTATATTCTCTTTGGTGTGACCTAAGATTTTCTTTATAACACTTCCTTAAAATACTGTTATTTGAAACTTCAATGTAGATTTTAGTAATACATGCCAACTTCTAGAAAAATAGACAAGTAAGTATTTTATATAGACAAAGTATTTATAGATAAAATGAAGATAAAATGTTTTAACATTGCCTTTAATATTTACTTGTCATATATAATCTTAATTCTCATGCAATGTAATCTATACTAGTTCTCCATTATATCTCTAATTGATCTTTTGGGGATCCTGCTACATAATGTTGGTTACAGCTGCTCCTCTGTATTCTGCCGTTTCTGGAAGGGGTCAGTGAATTCTGTGGTGTTGGGAACCTTACACCTGGCTTCTAGCTAAAAACATTGCATTGATTACAGGAACCTGTGCGCTCCACAAAGCCAATCGGCTACAGGTACATGAGGTGTCCACGAGTACCAGTTGCACCCAAGTAATCAATAAGCGGGCCCTTCTTTGTCTCAAGCTAGCCAATAGCAAGCAACCTAATCTCCTTCCTCTCCCTCCCCCCTATATATATACCCAGTTCGGAAAAATAAAGTTTGCAGCTTGATCAGAATCTTTTGTCTTGCTGCCATTCTTCGCGCCTCTTGTCCCCCCAACTCATTTGTTCTAGGTAGGTGGTCGAGCCCCAGTTGATTGCTCCGCGGGCCGGAGCACTGTGGCTTCTTCCTGACAAGTGGATTTTTGAACTTAGTTTTTTGGTAAGTATCAAAAAACAATAAATTAAGCCCTGGCTGGTGTAGCTTAGTAGATTGAGCGCGGGCCTGGGAGCTAAGGGATCGCAGTTCGATTCCCAGTCAGGGCACATGCCTGGGTTGCAGGCCAGTTCCCAGCAGGGGACACACCAGAGGCAACCATATATTGATATTTCTCTCCCTCTCTCCTTCCCTTCCTCTCTAAAGATAAATGAATAAAATCTTAAAAAAAAACAATAAATTATAATTATGCCTTTATATTGACACAATAGAAAAATAAGAAAGAATGCAACATTATGTGTTAAAAAATACCAACCCCAAACTCCATAACCTATTCCTTGAGAAAATCAGCCACTGAATCATATTTTTCTATCTTATTTTGTTGATTTGTCTTTCATTTTCCTCAATAAAAAGGAAGATATATTAAGAACATTACTATTTAAGAACTGTTTTATATTTCTGGCATCTTTCTTTTAAAAATAGTTCTCTCAATCAAAGCTAAACCACAATTGTGATGTTTTCTTTCCTCATTTTTTATCATGTTAAAAACAGGTTACAAAGTATAAAATCCCCTATTTTATAAGTCTTTCCATGTGGATTTCCTTTAACTATTTTTATGCACATTTTCTTAAACCAGGTTTCTCCATCTCTGCGATCTTATAAATGGCACAGGATGATGGGTGTTTACAATATTGATGATTATGTCTGAGGCATATATTTTTGTACTTGGGTGTATATAGGAAAAAAGTCATAATGTATCATCTTACAGATAACCACATCCTGATTATTTGGAGAGGGAGATGTAAAAATAAATGCAGAGTTTAAATACACACATTTAATGGTTTAAAGCCATGCTCGTAGCCAGTTAACCAAAAGGCCAAGTTCCTAAATATGGCATTTGGTACACTAATGAAAACAAACACCCTGGCACCTGCCACACAAAAGACATTTGATTAACTAGTTGAAACTTGATTGCTACCAAATTAGAAACAGAGGAAATTATAGGGAGGGAAGGAAAAGACCAGGTTCAGCTCCATTTCCCTATTTTGTTGATAGTGGATAAATATAGCCCACAATTTAAAAATCTGCTCAGTCCCATGTACACTCTAGATTGCAGAATAAACACTCAAAGGATGTTCATTGTATGAATATACCACAGTGGAGGTGTTTGCAATTTTTTCAGTATGCCAATAATTTTTATTGAGTAATATTTGAATATTATTTCTTTGGATTGTGAGGATGTTCAAAACAGTGGAGTGTGCATGAGATCTCCCTTATAAAATATGGTGTGCACTTTATCAATTTTGTAAGCAATTGGTCTATGATCTGCATGCATTTTCATTTTTTAAATAATAATGCTGAATAAACAAACATCTTCCACTCTGTAACAATTTAACCTCTGTGTCAAAGATTTTTCACATTTAAGAACTCATTATACCCTGAAATGATCCTCCAAACTGTGAGTGGAATGGTGGTGCTGGAGGGAGCAAGGGGTGACGTTTGCTCATCTAAGTTCGGGAAGCAACATACATTGGATATTCCTCTAGAACCCTGATAGTGCATTGACACTGACTGACTCTAAAAATTCAGTGGCAAAGGAATTGATTCAATTTTATTTAATGCAGTGTTCATTGAGAGGTCTGTGAAAATGGAGAGAGATGTTTGCATTATTGAGAGTCAAGGGCTGCAAAGAGTCATTGTTTCGGTAAAAACAAATCTGTTAAGTAGGTTGGGATGAAAAATAAAAGGTTGAGAATCACTGATCTAAAAACAAAAGAACAAAGTGAGATGAGGGGAGTAAGGGTAAGAGAGGATTAAGCTAAAAAAGTGAAGCAGTATTAGCCAGTATATGATCCAATTTATTTTTAACTGAAAATATTCAACTATCTTCCTTTGAAGGCTGGTGCTGAAGAAAAACAAACTACTCAGGTGATTAAGGAAATTTCAACAGTATCTGACTTAAAGATAGATCTAACCATTAGACCCCCTCAAAAGAAGACTGACTTTAGGGGTGAATCTCGATAACTTCTGGAATTATTTTCCCTAATCTCTTAATCACAAATATTCAAAATGCAATCTACTCACTGCTATGTTCACCAAAAATTAAAAATAAAGGGCTTAACAATAAAAGACTTAAAACATAATTTAAAGTGTTCTTTTTAATCTCCTCTGCCCACTTTGGAGGAGCAGAGACCTTTAAGTGAGACGTGCTATTGATGGTTCCAAGTTCAGACCCGAGGGAACGACTGTGTGTGCCTGCCCACAACACTGTGCGCAGCCTTCTTTCTCCAAAAATGAGGGTGGCTTTCTACACAAGAGTTAAGTCAGATTGGCCCCAAGTAAATCTGTAAGACAAAGTATGTTCTTCAGTATACCCTTTACCCTGTTCCATAGGGTACAGCCACCCAGGGCCTTTTTGATAATAGGGAAAAGCTCCTATAAGAATAGTAGATAACAGGGCCATTGTAATCTTTTTATTTTAAAAGAG